CTGCCCCGTCCTGCCCGCCTCTCTCCAGCCCTCACCTGCCCGTCAGCTCCCCCGAGGACACCCTATGTGGCCAGACTCTAGCGCTGAGGCCTGACCACCACCCCTGCCCCGCTAAGCACCCCTCCTGGGCCCCCCCTCCCCCGCTCCCAGCTCTGTGGCGTCTCCACCTGTCACAAGAGACCCAGGGCTGGACGCAGAACCTGCCTCGAGGGCACGAGGCGAGCTGGCCTCAGTGCCGTCACATCTCCTCCGCTTCCCAGTCGCCAGGTGCCTCCGGAGCAGGTGCGGTCCCCTTCACTCGCCATTCCCGGCCTCCCCCAGCTGGGGGAGGGCGCTGGTCTGTTCCAGGTGTGTCTCGGGCCCAGGAACAGCGCCGGCACCGGCGCGTCTTGAGAGGAGTTCTGGTTGGCCACAGCCCCACACGGGGCTTCCAGACTCACACTGCAGGGTGGGAGGCCCCAGAGTGAGAGGACGTCCCAGAATCCCCGGGGGCTGAGCTGTGTCCCCTGCACACCACACACAGGGACACAGGCACATGTGCACACACAGCATGCACGCTGCACGTATTATACATCTACACGCACACACGTGCACCGTCACCCATGAGCACGCGTGTGGGCTCTCACACGCTCTCACCCTGGGCCTGCGTGCCTCCCTGGACAGTCTGTGTGGACAGCGGGGAGCCAGGCCACCCGGCACTGCTGAGGCCACTTGTCTCCACAGCCCCAGGGTTAGGATGGGAGTGTCCTGTGTCCTGACCCCGAGCTTCTGGGCTGGGCCCGTCCGAGGCAGGCAGGCAGCCAGACAGCCACATACGGAAGTGACAAAGGGCCTATACCCTGCAGATATAAACAACTCCTACGAACAATAGGGAAAAGAGGGACGACCCAATAGGACTCGGGCAGGAATCCGAACGGGCACACAGCGAAGGAGGCAGGTCCAAACGGCCGGGGCCCCACGGCAAGGCGTGGGACCGCATGCGCAGTGGGGCACCCGCCGCCCACCGCGATGCCCCACCACCGGCACCCGCCACTCCAGGCCCACCCGAGCGGCCGCACTCCCGGGTTCGGTGAGCAGGCGGGGCGGTGGGACTCGTCACACTGCAGGCAGGAAGGCAAATTACGAGCGACGCGGACAGGGCTGCGTTGGCCACGAGGCTGAGCTGCAGTGGCAGATGTGGTGGGAGCTGGGCACACAAACGAATTTCTTCTGCCACCAGGTGTGGCCATTCCTCGCCTGCTGCAGGTGCGGACAGCTCACTCCCGGAGCCCCCCTGGGGACTGCCGTGGGCGGCTGGGCCCCTCGCCCGAGCCGCCCAGGGTTCAGGCCCACCCAGGGAGGCCGATGGCCCGCGCTGACCGTGGGTGCAGAAGGCCTGCCGGGTCTGAGGGAGGTCCGGGCACTCGGCGCCCCGAAACCACGCCTGTTCTCAGCCCCACCCTCACGCCCGTCCTGTTTTCCCCTGAGAGCCCCCCCACTAGTCAGGGGAACCCCCATTTCAGGCTCTGCTAAGGAGAAGTACATCACGAAATGCAACAATTGCACCTGCAGCCATGTGCGCCGCAGAACACGCGTGCGCACGCACACACACGTGTCAGGACACACGCGAGTTCACGAGCGAAACACCGCCAACTCAGAGCGCCTGAAGCTGTGTTTTCTTCCCACGCTGACCTGTGCAGAGACCGAGCTCCGCGGGAGGGGAGCGCCGCCTGGGCCCCCAGCTCGCCCAGCCGGAGGTCTCTGCCCTCCGGCACCGCGCGTGACGTCCCGTTCCCACTGTTTGCCCGGTGACCTTTGGAGGCAGTCTGCGCGTCAAGCTCAGGAGAGCCACGTGGCATTTCCTTTGAGAGAAGCATTTTATTAAAGGTTCGGCAGGGCCGAAACCGGTCGTTTGAAGGTGCGCGGATCCCTCCGCGTGCGCCGCCTGGGCTCTCACTCTGCGGTCGCCCTGCGGCCCCTGCAGATGCGTCGGAGCAGCCCACGTGCTAGGCCGTTACCTGGCCTGCGACCGCTGGCAGCAGAGCACAGGGAGACCTTTTCTGAGACAGTTAATTAGCAAGTCTTATGTTCAGTTGTCCCCTGGAAGACACTGCCACACCCGCCCCAGGGCTAGGGGTCTACCTGCCCCTTTCTCCTCCCCAGGGCTCTGGGTCACAACTGCCACCACCAGGGCCACCATCCCTGGGGAGGGGACTGAGGCGCCGCACCCTCCCCACAGATCAGGACCCCGAGAACCAACCCCAGTGCTTCGGTGCCAACCTGCCGGGCCGCACGGAGGCTCGCCCGCAGCTCGGCAAGATGCCAGGGCAGGGAGCCGCCCCGCCCCGCCCCGCCGGGCCACTAGCCCCTTGGTAGGTGGGGGGCAGCCAGGTAGGGGCAGGCGCCTGACGGCTCTTCAGGTGATCCTCACGCTGAGCAAGGTGGCCCTCATGCCCGGCCGTGGATGGAAAATGTCAGAGTACTTCGATTCAGTGAGTCTGGCTCGATGCCTGTTAGCATTTTAACAAAATGGAAATATCAGTCAGTGCACCTGGGAAGGGCAAGTTCTGTTTCGTGAAACATGTGTTTCAAGTGTGTGTGTGTGTGTGTGTGTGTGTGTGTGTGCATGAGAGAGAGAGAGACAGAGAGATGGAGAGACAGAGACGGAGACTGAGGGAGGGACAGAGACACAGACAGACGGAGACTGAGGGAGGGGAGGGGGAGACAGGCCTTTGCAGGTCAGGCTCAAAGACCCAGCGGCCTGGCCTTGCCGTGCCGAGTGATCATCTCCCAGCAGTGCCCACAGCCCCCAGGGGGCCGCACTCTGCCCCTCCAAGCAGGCCAGTGAGCGGATCCCTGAGTTGGGGAGGGGTGAGGCCCAGAGCAGGCACCTCCCAAGTGGCACATGGGGTCGCCAAGGGCAAGGTGGCAGGGGATTTGAGAAGAGCAGACCTCACTTGTCCCTGGGGCAGCGGAGAAGGTGGTGGCTGACGTGTGACGCAGTGGAACTGCGACGGTGTCCAGCGAACTGGGGGTGCTGTGTGACCCCGTTTCTCTGTGCAGGGCGCCCCTTAGTGTGCTGTGTACAGCTGTCTGCAGTGGGAACCTGGGACTCCAGGGCACAGCCAGCAGTGCAGACCTGCTAGGTGTGGACGGGCCACAGCAATGTAGACGCCAGGACATTCTGCCCCCAGCAGCCCCCTGCCCTCCATCTGCAGGGGTGGCCTGCGCATGGGAGGCTGTCCCTTTGAGGACACCAGCCTCCTCCGGGGTCCTTGAGCGCAAAATACCACAAACCCTATTTGCTTGGAAAACGCGCTCTCCCAAATTGAATGCATAAAACTTCCGTTTATGTAACTGAACTTTAAAAGTCAAGCCACCCGTGCACTCAATGTATTTACCTAGAATTTAAATAATTTTACTTATTCCGGAGCTAAGTTCCTCTTGCCTTAAGTTATTTGTTGTGTAGACGAAGGGTTGCGTCACACAGAACATTTACTGGGTTGAAATTTGAATGGTAAACGCATTTTCCATATCCCCATTCAAACTGTGTGCGCAGCCGGCAAACCCCATGGGCCATCGCGGGAGCTGTTCCCCGTCTGGATCAAAGGTTCGGATTTGAGTAGCTTTTCCACAGACGTGTTCGAAGATGCATCACCGCCCGTCAGCTGGT